GGTGAAGGGGTTATGTTTGTTTTTTTTACCTGACTTTTCCGATGACATGCCTGCGGTCTTGCTGGGATAGGGTCCCTGTAGCTGGAGGTGGGGGCCCAGCCAGCAACGGAGTCTGGGTGAGGGATGGCGCAGCCAGCAGCAGCGCAGAGATGGAGAGATGAAGGCAGCCACGGGGGGCGGGCGGAGGGAGAGCGGGGAGGGGGGGAGCTTAAAGGGACCGAGGCGAAGTGGGGGGAGCGCTTCAGACGTCCCCCCCTTCACTCGGTCTCTCTCCGTTCTCGGACCACCTCTCTCCTCCTCTCACCCTGGCATTCAAGCCCCCAGTTTAGGTTCTCTTGGAGTTGTCATGGAAACAGGGAGGCAAGACCAGGCGAGGGGGGTGGGACTAAAGGAAGGAAGGAAGGAGGGCGGGAGAGAGAACTCTCTAGAGTCTCCCCCGCCAAGACTCGTTGTAGTGATTATATTGTGTGAGGGAGCAAGCAGGTTTCTCAGTGGATTTAATACCTCAGTTCCCTTCAGATTTGGTTCATTCTGGCAGGTCTTCTCCACCTTGCTTCCATCTAAGTTTCCTATAAGGTGCTGGGATCTTCTCCCAAATCCTTGGCACTAGTTTCCTCCTTTTAAAAAGAGATAAATAACTCTGTGGAAGAATTGTGCAGAGTTGAAAACTGCAGTGGTATGAAAAGTTCCCAGTGTATGATGGACCTGCCACTTTGACAGTAAAGTAGGAGGTTCGGGTCTATAATTTGGACGTAGCCCGTCCATGGGGGTGGAGAATTTTGGTGTGTGTGTGTATATAGATACCTTTTATTTATTTTATTACAAAAATTTTTGCTGGGCGCGGTGGCTCACGCGTATAATCCCAGCACTTTGGGAGGCTGAGGTGAGAGGATTGCCTGAGCCCACGGGTTCGAGACCAGCCTGGGCAACTTGGTGAGACTTCATCTCTACAATAAATCAAAAAATTAACTGGGTGTGGTGGCGCGTGCCTGTAGTTCCAGCTACTTGGAAGCTGAGGTTGAAGGATCAACTGAGCCCAGCAGGTCGAGGGTGCGACGGCCATGAGGGTGCCACTGCATTCCAGCTGGTACAACAGAGTGAGACTGACTCAAAAAACATTTTTTTTCCCCCAGCAATATTGAACTCTTAGGTGATACCTTTTTCATCTAGGGTTAAGGTTGTAGCTCTTTGGGCAGGGGCATGACTTAATAGCTCATTTCTGGGAGCTCAGTTTGGGAATGCATGTTTTTTTTATCCCATTCTCCCTTTGCTTTTGGGGTTGTGGAGAGTCTCCGGACGGTCGGTATTCAGATCCATTCCCTAAATCACTGTACTCTCACCCACAACCTCCCCACCAAGATGCACCTCCACTTTCAGAGTCGACCTCGGACAGCGTTATTGCAGTCTTTTTATTTGCTTGTTACATCTTGAAAGCGCGTGGGTGGGGAAGGAGGGTGAGGATAGGCAGTCTACTGAGATTTACACCAGTTGAGTTGTTTGCAAAAACACAGCCAGAAAATCATTATTCTCCCTCATCCCCCATCTTTAGAGTAGTACTTTCCAGTCCTCGCCAAAGGCAGCCGCTGGCATGCTGGTGTCCTAGCTAAGGCTACAGAGCAATAAAGAGGCCCTCATCAGAACCAGTCTCGGCCCGAGATTTAGATCACGGCCTCATACCGGTCATTCTGGTTTCTTAGGCGTTCACGTGAGCCCCTAATCCCTTACCCCCACCCCAATCTCACTTTACACAATTCCGAGAGCAAATTGGTTTGATTGAGACGGGTTTAGGCCGAACAATAACCTTGTGAACTGAGAGAGGAGCTCAGACATGCTGAGAACTCCTTTTCTCAAGGGAAACATCTTCAAACGCTTAATAAAAGCCCTAAGAAGCCCGTTCGGTGGCTCAGCCTGTAATCCCCTGCTTTAGGAGGCTGAGGTGAGTGGATTGTCTGAGCCCGAGGGTTCGAGACCTGCCTGGGTAACTTGGCGAGACCTCATCTCTACAATTAAAAAAAAAAAAAATTAGCCAGGCATGGTAGCGCGCTCCTGTAGTTCCAGCTACTTGGAAGACTGAGGCGGAAGGATCTCCGGAGCCCAGCAGGTCGAGGCTGCTGTACCCTAGTCTAGGTGACAGAGTGAGACTCCAACTCAAAAAAAAAAAAAGAAAAAAAAGCCCTAAGAAGTAAAAGCCTTAACTGAGGCACTAGGGTATCCGGTAGGGGTCACAGAGACGTGGGCACCAGGAGTTGGAAGTCTGGATGGGGTGGAAGAGCCACCCACAGAGAGCCCTTACGGTCGGATGACAAGGGTCGTTCCGGTGGAAAAACTGGTCGAAGTCACGTGGGCGTGAGTCAGTGCAGCCCCAGGGGCCCTCCGCCCCTTAGGGGGTGTGTTGCTTATGGGGAGGGGAGTAGAGGAGGTCAGGAGAAACTGGGCCAGGCCGCACTTAGCTCAAGGGGCCTCGAGAACTCTCCGCGTCTCTGGAGACAAGCGCAGTACACGCACTTCAGAATGAAGAGTTGTAAGACGCTGACCCGGGGCGGGGGGCGGGGGTTGAGGAGTACGCCTGGGCTGGCTTCAGCCCTCCAGGCCACCCCGCCACTGGTCCAACGAAAGAGAAAATGCGTAGA